AATAAAGGTGCATTTGTTGTGATTAACCTGCTGTTTGTCTTTTGCACTTTGGGATCGGCTAACGAACCATCACGACACCCCGCTATAAGCGGATCGTGACACTGCCCTCCTTTATTTCCCCGACTTTATCAGATGCTTCTTCTCCCAGCATTTATTTTACCCTTCCTGTTGGCCCCTGTTGCTTACAGTGAACTGGAAGTCAAATTCCACATTTCTCAGATATTTTATGATGAATGAAAGTTTTGCTTGTTGTGATTCCCTTCACTGAATACTTACCTTTAAAACTGCACAGAGATTAATATTGTCAGAGCATTGGTTTATGCTGGGAAGCTGCCAGCTAACGTGTAGGAAACTTACTTGGAAGGGTTTCATTACCCACTCAGCCAATAAATCACAGGGAACATGCTAGATTTTCTCCTCTTCCCACACAACACCAGCGGATGTGCTTTTTATATCACTGCTACTATTAGAGTGGAGGGACATGGTTCCATTTGTACAGTTTTAGTAGTGGCCATATATTGTTTATGTAAAATTTAGTTTAATATACCTGTTGTTCACTTGGCCTATGGTTACAGGGGTGTCTTATGTTTCAACAAGTTATTGAAATTTCTTTTTGGTAGATTTGAAAGAGGGTCCTTTGGCAGTGTTGACTATATGACTCTGGACACTGGATAGGCAGAGGGCAACATGTCATAAGTTATGTAATAGAAGATATTGATTAGTATTAATAAGGACAAAAGGCTAAGAAATTTCATGTCCCTAAGTGGATGCCAAGTCTTCTGAAGAATCCCTGCTGCTCTTGGCCCATTTGCATTGCTGCACAACCTGTTTCAATTTGCTTTAAAAACCTGAGATTGTGCTAACCACCCATAAAAATCCCCATCCCTTGATTTCTTCATGCTCTGAAGCTTTTTGGGACTCAGCAGAAGGGGGAAAACTCCAGTAAAGAAAACCATGACCCAGCAAAAAAAATTCCATGTCCATGCACCAATCTGCTAGGTGGAGTCAGTAAGAGCAAGGTCAGGGAGCACCTCCCATCCCCTCTGCTCCCCTTGTCCAGGGCTGATGGGTTGATTTGCTGCGGGACATTTTCACCCAGCAAGTGCCTGGCCATGGTGAGGACTGGAGACATTCTCCAGCTGCAGGGACATGCTGCTCCTTCCTTGCTTGGGTGCACTCCAGCTGTGGATGTCACCCCAGAGCAAGGCACACACTTGGAAAAGCTGTTTGGGCACATCTGCCAGATGCAGATGTGCACAGGAGGAGCACATTACCTGCTCCCAGACAGGTAGTTTGGTAAAATACCCACTCTTGGAAAGCTTCCCCATGGCTGTGGAGCACAGGCTGGTTGTGGTGGTTGTTGTGCCATTGGTGATGGATGGGTTTTTGGTGGCCACAACGACCTTTGAACTGCTGAGCCCTCGAGGAATTAAAAGGTGTCAGGCTGCTATGCTCAGCCATTAACAGGGTTCTGATGTACAGCAGAACATGGCTCTGGGTCCTGAGGTTGCCCTCAGGGCAGGTGGTTAGAGGCTGTGGCTGGGATCAACACACAGGTTATCAACCTTTTTTCCTGCAGGGTTTGATCCTGTGACTGATGTGGAAGCACCTTCTCAAACCTAGCAAGGCTCAAGGAGCTCCTGTTTGATGAGGTGTCTGCACAGAACAGAGCATCCACCTGCTATGGAGAATGAGTGTGTCTGGGATGGGTCACTGGAACGGGTCTTTGCACCACGTCTCTAAATCCCAGTCCTTCAGAGTATGGACATGAAACAGCCAAAAGACAAAAACCACAAGCAGCTTTTCCCAGAACATGTAACAGTTCAGCAAAGGAATCAGAGGCAACTTCTTGGAAAAAACAACTGCTAGACCTGAACCATGCAATGCTCACAAGGAGCACAAAGGACTTCCCTGTCTGCAGCCCTCAGCCCCCCAGCCAGGGCCCTCCCTGTCTGCACAGGAGATGTCAGAGCATTTCCCACCCACCTACCTGCAGTGATGGACGCCAGCCGGACATAGTCAAAGCCCCTGATGAATGGCTCATAAGGGGAGCTCTCCAGGACGTTCATGCCTGGGGGAAGAGAGAAGCTGGTGAGAGGGCAGGTGAGGCTCCTGAGGGATGGCTGAGATGCACAAGGTTCAACATCTGCAGTGAAAGGCTGTTTGGCGGGTCCAAGGGGACTATGCTCTAAAGGCCACAAGTAAATGGACACTCGGAGTCATGCGAGCAGGTGTGTGGACACATCCTTGGAGAAGGGAATGGAATGTAACTGGCTTTTAAAAATGTATCTCCATTTTGGAGTGGGGCAGCCTGTCAGGAGCTGTTGAGCTGCAACTCTCTGTAGCTCAAGCTCTGGGGCACACTGCAGGGATTGCCAGAGAGGACACCAGACTGCAGCATAGGCTCCTGCTCATGGGTAGAGCTCAAATCACCAGCTCTCACACACACATACACAGGGTTTCCATCACCATTATTGCAGTACCTTCTATGTCCCTCCTGGGGTCAAAGGTCCTCACCTTGTTTTAGGACACAGACAGGATTGTGTGGGTGATGACGCACTCCATATTTACTGTCACATCTCCCTTTCTCCTTGCCGACAGCCTTTTCTCACTTGGCGCAAAGCTAATGACCCACAGCTCCCGCAGAAACTTCCTCTTGTTGTTTTTGAGTCTCTGGGAGCCTGATTTTATTCAACTGGTGCTTCCCTTTCATCTGTGCAATGGTCTGTAATGCCCCGTCATCCTGATGGATACCACGGAATATTACTGAAGCAAACAGCTCAGTTTCTGTTGTTTTTTATCAGACATGTAGATGGACGTGGACAGCAGCAGCAGCAGATGTACTGGCTGGGATAAAAGGACTATCCAGCCTCACGCTATGGGCATGTGCTGGCCTCCAGCTGTGGCAAGAGGCAGCAAGAAATGGCTCCCAGTGTGCAATTACTACAGCACAATTCAAAGCAGCTTTACACCTTCATTGAAATATCTTGCATCGTTACCGTCTAGAGAGGGGCCCATTTGTATTTTCCAGCATAGCAGTTTTATGTCCTGATGATAAAGCACCTTATCAGAGAGTTGTTATCGGGTTGTCATCATGTTATTGTGTCTCTAAGTGGGAAGGTGGCTAAACACTAGCATGCTCAAAAGAAGCTGAGTAAATAGTGTGCTTTGTAAATTCCCTGAGCACGAACTTCCACAATTGTTTTTGCAAGAGGGCTTCTAGGAAGCTTTTTGCAGCCTCCTGGGTATGTGTGATTGAGAAACAAAGCTCTACATGGACTGTGTGGATTGGCTTCCTTTCTCAGTCAATTAAACATATGTAAAGACTCTGAAACATGGGACTGCTACGAAATATATCTCCCTGGGGAAATTAAGGCAAGGAAATCAAAAGTTTGGTGTGTAAATCTGCATTGCAAATGAAGTCAGTTGTTTGAAAAAGATGAGGCTCAGGACATGACAGGGGAGAAGTGGAGCAGAGCTGTTGCAGCCTCCAAGAAAAGCCCTCTCCCAGTCATTCCCAAAGTGGAAGTCCCAAGTCACTGGGCAGGGAGGCCATCCAGCACCAAACTGCTATTCCACATCTGGAGACCCAGAGCTGGCCCTGCCTGCTCTCAGCACTCCCTGCCAGCCTCTCTTTTCTCTTCTCTTCCTTCTGGTGGAAAGTGCCTCCCCCTGACCATGGCAGGGGCTTGGAACTTTCAAGGTCTTTCAGGTCCCTTCCAGCATAAACCACCCTGTGTCCCAGAGCTGGGAACCCTCCTGACAGCACTGCCCACACAGCCGTGGCACAAGTGACCTGTTTCTAAGTCTGAGCCACCAAGGTCAGCTGGGAAGGGGCTGTGACACCACCCTTTGAGATGAATGGTGAAGCTGGATTGCCACCTCCTCCCCAGGCTTCAATGGAAACAAATCTGGCACGTAATTATGGGAAAGACCAGATACTGGAGGTGCTGAGGTCTTGTATTTCCCCAGCCGGCTCACAGCACCACACTCTGCACCCTGCAAGCTGTGGCACCTGAAAGCTTCCCAGGAACTTGATCAACCAATTTCCATCCTGGCAAGCCTGATGGACACTGTAGTGTCCATCCTCTTTGTTTTGCTTGGCCTTTTGGCCTGTGGTTTCACTCCTGCACTTCTCCTTTCAGGTTTCAGCCAGCAGTGTTTTATTAATCTACTTCAGAGCCCATGGCTGGAAGGGTCTGTTTTATTCCCCATTTTAATTTTCATGATGCATAAAATACTCACCAGCCTGACAAGGATGAGTTATGGTCACTGAAGTGCAATTTTATGGTGACTTAAAAAACGTCAAAATCCAAACTTATTGAATACTGGCTCTGGGAACATTTTAAGTTCCAGCTTGATGTCACCAGCCCCAAATCTTCACTAACCCAAAGACACTGGTGCACTTGAGACATTCTAAGAGAGTGATTTTTTTGAAGCTCACGATGTTTTTCGTCAATGCCTGTGCTTTATGCTGTGTTTCTATAAAATCTACGGTGTTCATAGTCTTGGTTAACATACTTAGATACAAAATATGCTGTGCATTTTTTCAGCAAAAGATCTCAATGTATATTGGGATCGTCATAAAACAGAGGTTGTGTTAAAAAAAAGGAAGACGTGTAGTGGTTTTGGTTTGTTAATTTAGGATTTTTTAAATTTTGAAATGTTTTTGGTTAATATATTAAAGATTGTGATGAGTTTGGTGTTAGTTTATCACTAATATACTTCTTGTTGTGAGATATGATTAGGAGAAAGGTAAAGTAAGTTTAAAACTTTAAAAGGCTATAAGAGAGAATTTTATTGAAAGTAATAAGAAGGAAAAAAAAGTAGTTAGAATTAAAACAAACTCTTCAGAATACTTTTCCTCCCCCCCACAACCTTTTCTTTTTTATTGACAATGTAAGAAAACTAAACCTAAGATTTTTAGTCAGTTTACTACTTTTAAAATAGTCCTTTTTTAGTTTACTGAGGGAGAGAAGTCTCTCTTGTTAAGGCTATGGAGACTTCTCCACAAGAGGAAAAAACAGTTCTTTTGTGGTTCTCAATTTTGCTACTAATCGTAGTAGTGTGATTTTCACAAATCACATTGTGAAATCATGGTGAAACCTGCATCTCAGGTTTTCAGTAGTGCTTTCTCCAAAATGTCAATACCATGGGGATCAATAGGATCAGCAAATCTCTTGAGTTGGAAGAGGCCCACAGGGTCCCTCAAGTCCAACTCCTGACCCTACACAGGACACCTCAACAATCCCACTCTGTGCCTGAGAGCGTTATTCAAACACTCCTGGAGCTCTGGCAGCCTTTGGACCATGCCCATTCACTGGGGAGCCCGGGCAGTGTCTGACCTGGGGGAAGAGCCTCTCCTTGACATCCAACCTAACCCCTTCCAACACAGCTTCATGCTGTTCCCTTGGGTGCAGTCAGCATGTCTTGGGACAGCACGGGATGATACAGGGGTATTTTGCAGCAACTTCAGTGCTGGGGCGCTCTGTAGAGCGGCCCGTGAGCAATTCCCTTGTAGAGGACCATCAGAAAGGTTCTACTGACCTTCCATCAGCGTGTGGTGGATGCTCCAGTAGACACTCAAGCAGTGCTTCTCCTTCTTCATGCCGCGCTTGCACTTGCAGCCGTAGAGCTGGCTGGAGAGCAGGGCGCTCACGGTGCTGCGGCACTGGCTCTTGGCGTCGGGGCCCAGCTTGTTGGCGCCGTTGCCCGCGATGCACTGGCGCAGCGTGCGGAACTTGGCGCTGCACACGGGGTCGGTGGTGCAGGCCTCGCCCGCCTGCAGGCAGTCCCTGCTCGAGCCGACAGCTGCTGCCATACCTTCTGCAAGGGAAGGGGAGAGGCGGTCAGCACCGTGGAGCAGCCCCGGGAAATGGAGCATGTCTCCCGCAGTCTCCTTCTTCTAGGATGCCCGGAGAAGTCGTGGAGGCCCCATTCCTGGAACCGCTCAGGACGGAGCTCTGAGCAACCAGGAAAGTGTCCCTGCCCACGGCAGAAGAGTGGAACCAGATGAGCTTTGAGGTCCTTTCCAACCTGAATCATCCCAAGGTTCTATGGCAGGATCAGCCTGGTAGCAGGATTATAAGTGACAGAAACTTGACCAGTTCCTGGTGATTGATTTTTCCTTCTTGGAGAGCAAAAATATTTTCAAATCCTTTCTTTCCCAGCACTCTATCTTATTTCTGCCCTTCAAATTTAACAGTAGTCCAATGTTGCAGAGACCCTGGCCTCTGCTCCTTGAATATGGTTTAACTGTGCCTACACCTTCCTGGAGCTATAAATGGCTCTCTGTGGGCATTTTGACATGTAGTCAGACCACATATATCCCAGGAGTTGGCCTTTGTTCACTGTCACCCTCTCCCCAGGACTCCCACTGTTTCTGTCTTGGCTTTTTCCAAGCTCTTGTAAATTGTCTTCAGATTCCTTTACCAACACAAAATGCTGTGCTCTCCATTTGGAGAGGAGAGCCCAAAGCATGGGAGGAAGATGGTATTGCTACACATACACCAATAAATTACCTCATCAGGGCTCAGTGGTGCTGTGCCTCAGTGCCAGGAGCTGACCAGTCCTGTGTTATTTATTGCTCTTCCTCGCTCAAGCAGGCTGGACATGTCCAGGCTGGCTCCTGGGATGTGCTCAGCCCAGCTCATGGCTGCATCGCTGCTCCTGGCAAAGGGCAGGGCCAGAGGCTCAGCCCTGCTCAGATGTGGTTGTGTGGCACCCAGGTGGCAGAGGGGGGACTAGTGTGATGGTCTGGAGCATTTGATACAGGTAAGGCAGGACTGCTCCACAGCTTGGGAGACTGAGGAAGAGGCAAACCTGGTTTATGGAAGGGGAGAATCAGTTCCAGTGACTGTACAGTAATTTTGGGTCCTGCTGTACTATCAAAACAGAAACTGATGTAATGACCTTGAAGAAGAACTTCTCCAATACTTCCCAAAGGAACTCTGTCTCTAACATAACTTGTCTTCCCTTTGGGTAGGAACCAGAAGGGGAAGGACAGAAAAGACCATCTACTTTTTGACTCCCTCCGGTGTCTGCTTTGGGTGAGATTCAGATTGGACAATATTAGAAAATCCTGCTTCCTGAGAAAAATGTGAGTCCCTGATCTCCATCTCTGAGGGCTTAATGAAATCTCTGCTTTCTCCAAGATTCTATGGATCTCTTCATAAGGTCCCCTTTTCTGCCTTCCAACTGCTACCTCTCCTTAATTTCTGCATCCCCCAGTTCAGCACTCGAGCCCAGTAGATCCATTTCTGTTCCCTCAGCAGTCACAGTGTGTTTGTGAAGAAGGAGCTGCCTCTGCTGCTCTTGATTAGAGTAGAAAGCAGCAGCTGGAGTTCAGATATTTCAATTACGTTTATTACAAACTTTGGGTGAACCCACTAGGAGGTTTCCTCCTGAAGTATCCCAGTGGAATCTCAAATGAAAAACTTTCATCTAACTGCAGACTATTTTAAAGTGCCTCATGGCCAATGTCAAGCTTTCAGGTATTTCAAATCTCACACCATCTCAAATTTGAGTTCTCCTGCCCCTGATTTATTCATAGACCTAGTTTATTTAGCACTCAAGGCTTGTTTGGATCTGCCAAATGTGGAGAGAGAAATTATTTCCAACATGTGGGAAACTCTGCCTTGGGCTGTCATATACTGAAGAACTTCGAACACAGGGAACCAGTTGCCTTGAAATATCATTTGGGCAATTTGCAAATTCACTGAGATCCATAAAATGAGCTAGAGAATATATCTGAGCAGAATCCACAGGAATAAAGAAAAAAATACTTATTTTACTCTGGCTTTTTCCAAAGGGTCTCCTCTGAATGAGGATAAAGCCCAGCAGGTTGTATTCCAGAAGAGATGACTTTGTCAGTGTCCTGTCAGCTGCTAGAAAAGTAGGTTAAAATAGAAATTATGACCTTCCTTTGCTTTCTCCGCTACATGAATTGCAGAAGATACTCCCCAGGATGGTTATAAACACAACCAGTCTGTAAAAGCTGTAAAACACTCTGGAATCTCACTTTAAATAAATCAAGCAGATTGACTATTTGAGAAATTTGCCTGCAAAATTTTAAGTAAATATATCCTCAAACTGAGCCTTGCTCCATAGAACAAAGGCCAGGGGTGAATATTTACAGCCCAAACCCACAGCATAAAACATCTCCATTCAGACTTTATGACAGAGGTTCTTGAGCCACTTGGGGTGTCATGAATGACCCGTTCCGTAATTGTGTCACTTAAGAACCAAATCATTCAGGGGCTTTTATTGTTAGAGGTGTCTTTGCAACTGAGACAACATAACACCACGTTTTTCTCCTCACACTGCCCCTGAGAGAGTAATTTTATGCAACATTAAGACAGCACCTCTTAGGGAAAAAAATAAATCTCCATGACTTATAAAATTGATAGCGCTTCCTAACAGGCAGGGACAAGAGCAATATTAGGTCTTCTCTCCAAAGATGGAGTGGCCTTTCTGGTTTTGCCTTCAGAAATAGCTCCTGGCAGGCTCTGTGCCGCGGGACTTTCCTCCTCCTTGACTGACCAGGGAATTGGGATATGCACAGAGCTGTGCATGGCTTGGGCTTTCTGTCTCTGCTTTTCTAATAGCAGCCCTTCCAGCTCCCTCTGCTCCCTTTAAAAAGCCATTTGTCTGGAGTTTTATTTCTCACTCCCTGCTAATTTCATGCTGTTTACGGTGGGCAGATGGAGTAATGAGTTTATTTTCACATCCTGTTTGTAGCTGTGCTTCACATCTGTTTCTGCTCACTCTTATCTCAGTGCCATTCACCCAGAGTTACTCCTCAAGTGTGGGAGCAAGAGAAAAACCTGTCTCTTCCCATTTTATCAGACCCTCAGCTCCTCTCAGATAGGTGTCTCCAAGTGCATTGTGCTGACCAAGCAGGTCTGACTCTCCTCCAAGGACATAATTTCCTTTCTCAAGGAAGTGCAGCTGTGTCTGGGGTACAGAAGTGTGAAGGTGATTCCGTGTGGGCTAGAAATAGTGAACAAAATGCCTGGAGAGCACCAATGTGGAGTTCTGTCACTCTCCCTTTCTTACTCAACTTGGGCTTTAGATGTTTTGGCAGGAACCACACCAGTTCCACCAGGGTCTTGGGATACATCCCCTTCCCTCCCCTCCAGTTTATATATGAAGTCAGCATGAATCTTTTTACATTCCTCATTTGACAGGCTGGAGATGTCCAAAAAAGGGCAACAAAGCTGGGGAAGGGTCTAGACAGTAAGTCCTATGAAGAGCAGCTGAGGGAGTAGGGAAGGGGCTGAGCCTGGAGCAAAGGAGGCTCAGGGGGACCTTGTGGCTCTGCACAGCTCCTGCCAGGAGGGGACAGCCGGGGGGATTTGGGATCTGTTCCCAGGGAACAGGGACAGGAGGAGAGGGAACAGCCTCAGGCTGGGCCTGGGGAGGTTCAGCTTGGACACCAGCAGGAATTTCTCCCTGGAAAGGGTGGTCAGGCCTTGGAAGGGGCTGCCCAGGGAGGTGGTGCAGCCTCCATCATCCCTGGAGCTGTCCAAGGAATGCCTGGACACGGCACTCGATGCTCTGGGCTGTTTGACAAGGTGGGGATCAGTCACAGGGTGGAATAGATGGTCTTGGAGGTCTTTTCTAACCTCAATGACTCCACCATGATTCTGTGATTCACACACAGTTCATGGAGTGATGGACACTTTATTTCCACGACAAGCTGTTTACTCTAAAACATTTGGTGTTTGCTTTTACATTATTTGCAGCTAATAGGAGAATAACCACCCAAAACCTCCAAGAAAGCAACAGGAGTGATTTATTCCCCTTCTAGGTTAGCTTGTTTTGCCTGCAAAGGTGGATGGTTGTCTTTACAGAAGCACACAACATTTGGGTTGGAAGGGACCTTAAAGCACTTCTGGTTCCTTCCATTGGACCAGGTTGCTCCAAGTCCCACCCAGGCTGGCCTTTGTGCCAGATTTGGGTTTCCAGCCAGGCCACGTGAATGGCTGGGCGAGAACACTGCAAGGAGCACTTGCATCCTGTCCTGGTGTGAGAAACACGGGCAGAAACAGGCACTGGGCACCAGACCACCCTTAGTGCTCAGCTGGTAGGAATGGCCACTGCTGGACAATCCCCACTGCCCAGATTAAATTAAAACAGATTAAATCAAACACAAACTAAATGTTGGTGCTTGCTAATAGGCAACTGTCTGATATGCAGTACATTTGAACATCCCCAGAGCTGGCAGAAACAATTTATTACAAAAAGTCATCCTGGAGTCAAAAATTATGGGAAAGGGATTCTTGAAGAAATACTCCTAGTATTTCCCAACCATCCATAAACCAATAGTCATGCATGCATGGGCCCGGGTGGCTAAATGCAGGTGGCCCCTGCTAATCCTTGTTTAAACTGTGTTTTCATGTCGTGATTTTATAGCCAAATGCTCAGGATCACACAAGGAACAAATTATTGTACACAGCTCACATTTCATTTCCCATTTGCTTCTGATACCTGCAGAGCAGCCCCAATGAATACTTCTGCCATACCTCATGCTCATTGCCCCAGCCTGCTGAGAACAGCTCTCCCACGAGATCCCACACACCTTGTCCAGAACTCAGAGCTGTCACCTGGGTTTTGTAGTACCCAGAAACCTCCTCTGGGATGCTGTTCTCTATGCAAAGGGAAGTTTCCTTCCCTTCCACCTGTCTTGTCTTGATCTTAGTGCAGGTTCCATGCTCCAACACCACGCCTCTCTGGGGGCTGCCCCAGTGTTTCCTGAGGTACCTAAGAGCAGCTCACCTGGGGAGGACAGCACCCCTCCTTGCTGACAGTCCTTTGATGGTTTT